TATCCTGCTTAGTGTCCTCTTCCTCCTCCTGATCAATCCTCTCCTTTATCCAAGAATGATTTTTAGACAGCTGAGGATCAAACAGGCACACAGAAAGCTTAGTTTGAGCTAGTCAACCGGTTGAACTATTACTCCAGAACAGTACAGTTTGTTTGAGATGTTTGTCTTTTTTTATTAAAGTCATTTTCACCTTGTCTACATTTTGAAGTTCACTGGCCCACTGAAGAATAAGCTTGCGGCTTTCTTCAACACTGCGTTCAGTTCTGCGGTCTGTCTGTCGCTCGGACGGTACGCTGCATCCTTCACCGGGATCATCCTCATTCTGTAAATCACATTTACAAATCATTTATGGATGGACAATATATTTGTACCTGTTATGATGATATTACAATATTAGTCAATGTTGCAGTTTTGATTATTCTTATTAATTTACCTTATTATTTTATTTTTGTCGTCATCTAACAAGCACTTCATGTTTTAAAATTCTCATTTGAAAACAGTTAAATGTAATCTTTAGCAACTTTCAAAATGAGTATCCATTTTTCATACTGTACATTATAATGTTTTAATGCCCGTTAACCCCAAGACCCAAACCACCCTGCCACATCCTCACCAAAAACATGGTGTGACAAGGCCAAGAATTACAGTTGCACAATTGAGGTTATTGATATGTGTTATCAGTTACCCTAGGCTCATATAAACTAATCTAGCACTATACACGTCTCGCGTGGCAACGCTTATCTCATGCTAGCATGGATTATAAAAATTTATTGATTTGAGTTTGCACGCAAAGGGAAGTTTGCCAAGAAATTATTACTTGAGCCGGGAAACACATCAGTCTTTTGAAGGATGGAACGTAAATCTCAGTCTGAATCGAAACTTGGCTTTAGTATATTCCCGTATGATTATAAGATGTCTTTACAATGCCTTAAGTTTACTGAACTATTTAATATATATATATATATATATATATGTATATAAATAACAATAAAATAATACAGTAAACTGAAAGCATTGAAAAGACAACTGTCTTTACAGAAAAATACTTGAATGTAAAAAAAAGCAAACTTTTGATTCAGAGAATTACATTCCATCTTTTATATATATATATATATATATATATATATATATAAAATACATACTAAAATAATTAGTGTCTGACCTTACAAACTTGTGCCACCTGTTGCTTCCAGTGGTTGATGAATCGGATGCACTCTTCCAAGCTGCGGAGGTCCTGCAGGCCCTGCTGACGTTGCCTTTGCTGGAAACAACCATGAAATATTTATCATGAGTGTGGTGTACAAATGATTGTGATCAAAACCCAACATTGATAACAGACCATAACATCCTCGAGTTAGTTAGAGTCGTTACCTGTGAACGGGTAGAAAATCCGCTACTGGTCTTGAATGGGCTGGTGGGGGCAGAACTGTGGACCTGAACAGTTTCCTCCGGTAGCGTCCAGCGCACGGCCCCAATAGAGTTACTCTGCTTTTGGGGCCCTTCTGCAGAGGAACAGAAAGAGGGAAGGTTTTTTGACTTAGTTAGATTTTAATTGGTGCAGAAATCAACATCTCACACAGCAGTTTGAAATGAATGTAATGTGTTGAATAAACAGAAATACAAGCAGTTCAGACATCTCTACATTGTAAAAAAATATTGTTGGTTTAACTTAAAAAATAAGTAACCTGGTTGCCTTAAAAATTTCAGTTCATTGAAATGGAAAAAATGAGTTAATAAAATGAAGGAGATTAATTTAATCACCAGAAACTTAAAATATTATGTTATCTGAACTACATAAATTATCTAAGTTGATTTGACAAAAGAAAAAAAATGTTGTGATTACAAATCATGAAAATATTTTTTTTTACAGTGGTGAGAGAACATATGTAAGAGCCATACTTTTGTCCTTCAGGATGCTCTTCATCGTGTATGGCTTTGTGTTATATTCCAGCATAACACCTAGGGATATTTTCAGAGGGACATATTTAAAAGTTATTAATATTATCAATGCAAATTAACTTATTAATGGAACAACATTACTAAACCTTGATGATGAAGAACATGAAATAATAATACACATATTATACTTTAATAATAATAATAATAATAATAATAATGAACTGTAATAATACATTTATTAACTTATATTATAAAATATGTATAGGCTATTATACAATGTTTTTGTTATAAATTTTAAATTTCTTAAAGTACTTTTAACAAAACTACACTAAAATAATTATTATTCCTGATGCTCAAAGAAGATAGATTGAATACAAAATATGTTGCTTTGGATAATTGTCTGCCAAAAGCATATGCAATAATAATCATAATACTTCTGTCAAAGAAGTTAACAATTATATACATTTTTCAGTAACCGCACATTGTAACTGACATCATGATAAAAGCTATGCATGAGACTCAAATGAGACTTACCCAAGATGAAGTGTTGTGAAGGTGAATGCTAAAGGTGTCTGGTGAAACTGATCGTTGGCGCTCTCTCAGCCCTTGTTTAAGCTCTTTGGTCATGGATTGAACTTTGGACCTGAATTATTACGGTCACGATACAATGAGGTGGAGGCCGAGGTGAGCTACGTGATGAGACTCTTTCCCAGCAATGATTCAGACAAAATGGCATGATGCCAGGAGTAAAGACACTCACGTAGTGCGTATAATGCATTGCCACATGATTCTGATACTGATTTTGATACATGCATATGTGGTTGTTAATCAGATTTCATTCAGTAAACTTTTGCATTATACTTTAAAAGCCTTACATTTGTGCAGTCATCCTTCCACTGCACACAGTAGCCTAGATATAAAATATGGATGGTTGTATTTTATGACTATAAACTTAAAAAGGTAATGCTGTACAAATGTCAGCGAGCTCAATATCAAAGGATTGTAAAAGTATGATGGTAAATACCAGTGAACAGAGAAACTGCTGCTTACCTTAGATTCGAAACCATAAAGTAGGCCTATAAGTTCCTGCATGATATGCATTTCTTGATAATTTCATTTCTCATTATGGTTGTTTGTTCACAAGCATGTATTTACATCATCACAACCAAAAATGGAATAGCAATGACATGTCATTTGAACTTTGTTGGGAAAATTATGATTATTATAACTGCTGTTGGCATGAACTTTATTTCAGTAACATGCTGTTTCACACACTGAAATTTCACAAGAGTTGGATAATAGTCTCTTCTTCACCGTGTTTTCCTTAAAGTGATTGGTGTGATTAAATAAATATTAATCTCCAATGAAACTCCTGAATTTGAATTTAGGTATATAAAATGAGTGCATAACTGTAATATTAATTTTAATTTAAATAGAATTAAATTGTAACAAAATGTTAAAAAACTCAAATAACCATTTTAAACATGTCTAGTACTTTTTTATATAAACACAATTAATCCTGTAAATTATCCAGAAACATTTAATGTCTGATATGCCACCAATAGACATTTATTCATATTTATTTTGTATGTATTATCTTAAGGCATTGTTATTGGGGTGTATTATCGATTGAAAAGTGTATGTTATATATCATGAGACAATGGACACACTTACTCAAAATATATTAAAATACATTATTTATGGCTTGTCCTGAATCTGCACAAGTGAAAAGACAGGTTGCAATTCAGTAAATTCCTTTCTGTCAATTCAACATTTTGTGGAGTGTTCCTTATTCAATTCAAATTCATTATCTGAAAGGGCAACACATTCCCATCCCAAGACGTCATATGATCTAACTGCATGTCTAACTGTCACTTTACCTTTAGCATCAGTTAGATGACGCGGGTAGGTTTAGGTCTGGGGTAGGGTTAGGATTAGATAGCGTCTTCTAACCGACGTTAAAGGGTACCCTAAAACGTCGGATGTTGCAAGATTAATAATTATGTGCTTTTGAAACCGAAATGTCCACAAAACTTTGGCCAAAGTCAGTGTGTGTGTTTGTCTGAATCATGTCCGAATATAACAAAAGAGGAAATTAAACTAGACAGATGTCTAAATATATAAACTCATGACTTCGAGTAACAAAGTGAGATAATCAGGAAATCAGTGTAGTAGGGTTTGCTGAACATATGATCCAATCATGTTGTCACATTATGTCACATTTGCCATGCTCCTGTTCTATAAAAACTGTTGCATTCTTATTCTTGCTGGTGGGATTCACATTTGTCTGAAGTCCTTCGGCCGTGATTAAAGCATAATTTAGAAGAATATCAGTAACCAGACAGTTTCTGGTCCCATTGACTTCCAGAGTAGAGAGAAATATATACTATGGAAGTCAATGGGACCAGAATGGAAGTAAAACTCGAGTGAAACTCGAAAACGGTAAAACTCAACTGTTTAACTCTGAGGGAATTGTAAAATGTGCCTATTTCCAAAAAGAGTAGAGTACGTATCCCTTTAAGTCAGGTGCATAGGGAGAAAAATCAACCACGGGGGCGTTTTCTTTAATTAAACTGTGACCTTTTCTCAACCCTGCTTATCTTGACCAATATATCACACCGTAATTCAGTTCACAGCATAAAACAGTTCCCGTATGGGTTCCAATAAGTTCATTGAACCAACTTTATAGTTCTCATACAATTAAAAATGGTCTCTTAACACAGCAGGCTACATGTGTTTTTAAATTTAGCTTTATAAATTTGGAGTTGGTAAGCTTTATTTCTCATAAGTGTATTTATGAATTTATGTAAACCACGGTAACAAATTATGCAAATTACCCTTACCTGTAACCTTATGTAACATCAGTGTCATCTTATCTGTCTAAAGGGGAATTCCAGTGCATTAGTATGGATGAGCAATAATCCTAGAAGTCTTTCCTGTTGTTGCAAATATATTTTTATTGCCATACTGCAGTTACATACACAAAATTAGTAAAAAAAAAAAAAAAAAAAGCAACAAGCACAAGAATTTCCACAGAGTTTGTGAAATAGTGCATTGGCTTGAAAAAGTTAGTAATATTATTCTGTTTTTAAGTAGAAGTGGCATCTACTCAGCGGTTCGTGGCTGTCAAGGCTGTAACATAGATTTCTCAATCAAAAAGGGGGAAATATTTAAAACTTTTTCAAATTTGTATTGATCAATATAAACATCTTTTAAAATACATACAAATATGGTAACAGACAAATAGCAAAGCCTCTCTCATTCATACGCATGATCTTATTTAATAAAACTGTACATTTGTTTATAATGTAATATCTCTGTGACTTTATTTAAGTGAATTACAGTATCTTTTTGACAACTGGTTGAGTGCAGTTTATTCTTTGATCATGCAGTGAAATGAGGTTTAATTCCAGTTTAGGAAAAACTGTTTAAAGATAACAGTCTCTCTGCCCTGTGGTAAAATCTCCACCTGTAAGACAGAAAAACACTACATTTTCAGAGGATCTGGCATCTATGCACATGGGTATAAATAAACTCAACAATTTTGTTAGTTCTTTTAGAAAAATGGGTAACCCTTTACAATAAGGTTCATTAGTTAACATGTACAATATGTGAACAATACTTCTTTTACTAATCTTAGTTAATATTAATTCCAACATTTACTAATACGTTATTAAAATCAAAGGTTGTATTAGTTAACATTAGTTAATGGACTGTGAACTAACATGAACGCACAATGAACAGCTGTATTTGTATTAACTAACATTAACAAAGATTAATAAACACTGTAACTAACGCATTGCTCATCGTTAGTTCATGTTAGTTAATGCATTTACTAATGTTAACTAATGAACCTTATTGTAAAGTGTTAACAAAAAATGCTTCGAAAGGCCAGACCAAACACAATGAATATAGAATTGTATTTCATAAAATATTTTTGTAGACCAAGCAGGATTGCATGACGCATGAATTTAGAAGACAGATGCTGTAAATTGCTAATTATAAATCACCAACTCACCTACTCGTATTATAATCAGAATTGTATGCACATGTCACAGTTTAAGCAGGCACATATAATAACATTAGCTCAACCAATGGCATGTGTTTTGGTGGCTTGACTTTTTATGGTGCAAGTCCCCCTGAAAAGTTCGTATTTACGAGTTGCGAAGTAGTGTTTATGACGTCTGGCACTTTCGTCGGAACAAGATGGCGGTGTACTTTTTCTTTATTAACTACACAAGCTTTTTAAACTCCACAAAAGAAACAAAGAATGTGCATTAGGTGTGTTTTGCTTTGTAATGTTTTTATTAGTGTATAAAGCCATAGTAAACTTTATCATTACATATTATATAGTTATACTACAATGCTATTACATTTTGTGCAGGAAATCAGATTATTTTATTGTGAATAAAAAGCCTGACAATGTCACTGCTAAATACCTATAAATATTGTAGTATTCTGCCATGCCCCCAAGTTGTAAAGATCAGGGTATAAAGAAAATCCAGAGCTTCCCACTCGTATTTACGACTTTGTGATGCAGTTCGTGTGCGTTCAACTCGTAAATACAATCTTTTCGACTTCCTGGGTCAATGCATTTCCAGTTCTGTTAGTGGTCGCAACTGGTGCATCAATTATAGACTTGTAATATTAAATTTTAAACCACAAGAGTAATTCTACAAGTGCTGACCTGTGTTTTCATCTTGGGGTAGTTCATTTGCTGGATGAAGTCATCTGCCATTTTCAGAGCAGCCCTCTTCTCTTCTGCGTTCGCTCCACTTCCTGAGAATCATAGAAAACATTTCAATAATGAAACTTATTAATGCATGCATGTTGTATACTACCATTCATAGATTTGGGGTCAATAAGATTTTTTTTTATATATATATTTTTGAAATATGACTCTAATGCTCACTAAGCATTAATATATCTAAATATCCAACTTAATAATTTTCAGCATCATTACTCCTGTCTTCATTGTCACACGACCCTTCAGAAATCTGGATATAGATCTAGGAATATACTGATTTGCTGCTCAAAAAACATTTATTCTCATAACCTTAGTTAAACAGTCTGGTTAAAAACTGTAATCTTTTTTTTCAGGACTCTTTGATGAATAGAAAGTTCAAAAGAGCAGCATTTATTTGAAATGGAATTCTTTTGTAACATTATAATTGTCTTTACTGTTGAATTTGTCCTTGCTGAAGAAATCTTTCTTAAAATTTGTGTTACCTTTCCAAACAAAGATCTTTCCATTGGCCCCATTGTCCAGGATAAAGCAGTCATCACGTGCCAGTAAGTCCTTGGCAAATGGACTTTTCTCTGATACCTTGGTCAACTTCATTGACCCTGTTGCATCTGAAACCTATAAAAAAAGGAAGATTGAATGCACATGAAACACAAATTATATGTTTGCTAGACCTTTTAGGAATTTTTTAAACATCAGATGAATGTGCATTGAGCAAATATAGGTATGGATTATATTCCTCATGGCAAGGATTTATCTGAACATGTTTTATTTTTTTTTATTTGATATGGACATAACACAGTCACTGTGTCCATTTCTTTAACTGTCTATGGTTCCAGTAGACGGATAACAGTGCACAATCTGATGTCAAACACAGTGGATAACGGCACACACTCTGACGTTCACTGTCTACATTTTTACACCAGCGTTTGTGTGAAAATCCTCAGGTGTGTATACGTTTTCGTGTATATGAGAGCCCAAACCACAGGGAAATATCTGCGTTTTCCCTTCGTATAAACGGGGCCTACGGTTTTCAAAAATGTTTGGTTTCAGTTTCCGTGTGGACGAAAGGCCGAACCACGCAAAAAAAGTCATGGTTTTAAAAAAACACCTGTGTCCATGTGGAAAAGGCCTAAGGTGTATTTGAAAACTACAAGTATGTAGTGTCTAGGAGGTCAGTTCTGAACAACACAAGCCTAACACAAAACAGAGATGTGGTACCTTGTAGAGAGAGGCAGAATTTGATGCATCTGCTTGACTGTCTTCCTCTGGAGTGCTTTCTTTCAGCTCTGTCACTGGACCAAGAACCTGTTTATTATAACAGAAGACAGAGAGGACAAACACAGTCAGAGCTCATCGCCAAAAAACACTATTCATAATCATGACATTTTTTGTTTTTCAATTCTAATGTCAAAAAATGTATTTTGAGTGTGGGTGTTTTGCACCGCAGATAAAGTAAAGAAAGACTATTTAGTGATCAACTCTGAAAATGTGCATATTATGTTATATTATTATAAATATAGATTGTTATAAACTAAATTATGAACTGTTTATAATATATTATTTATTTATTATTTATTATTTTAACTGAAATACTGGCAAAATGGTGTTCCGCTGTGTTTTAGAGGAACTAATGGTTTTCTGAAAAACTTACTTATTCACTGTTTACTTATTTAAAGTATGTTAAAAGTATGTTGTTGTTTCGTTTTTTTAAATTCTGGGCTTTAATTTGAGTGCAAAAAAATAAAAGAAATAAAAGCAGAGTGCTTTTCTTAAAAAAAAAGAAGAAAAGAAAACACAAACGTATCGACCTTGATAATACTGTTTCTGGGTCCAAACCCTCCATTTCAACAGCTGTTTATGATCACTATTCATTTACAGCACACCTTTAAGATAACTTATCATAAGCTTTTACTTAAATAAAAGGATTAAAGTGAAATGTAAAGATAACTAATCATAGAAGGGTAGAGTTGACAAAGAGTAAAAAAATACACTGTTTGTGTATATATATATCAAAATTAGGGATGCACGATATATCGGCCAGCATATCGGTATCGGTCTGGTAAGAAAATGTGGCCAATATATTAAAGCCGATAAATAATGTATTATTCCCTTCAGCTGAGACACTTGTTGAGCACTGTTTATGTTTTTGAATTTCTTGAAATATGATTGAAATCTCTTCAAAAAATGAAAATATGGTTCGGTACAACATGTGCAGAGCAAATCTGTCATATCGGCTATACAACACTATAATAAGAACATCATTATAATTGTGCGCTTGGGACATGGATTTAATTGTGAGACCTTTGTATTTGTAATCAGGCTCTCAAAATTAGATAAAAATTTGGATTTAAGTTTATCGGCCGATATATCGGTTATCGGCTTTCAAATATAAAGAATTATCGGTTATCGGTATCGGCTAAAATTTTCATATCGGTGCATCCCTAATCAAAAATACACTGGCCTGTTGTTACCTGTAGCATTTCCTGTGTCTCCTCTCCCTCATTGATGTTAGTGATCTGGGCTTTGCCGTGTCTCTCTGTATCTCTGATCAGAGTGGCGATCTCCCGCACCTTCTGCTTCTCAAAGATGTTTGCCTGAGATCCTACCCATGACACAATTATCTAGAGAATAAAAAGATTTCAAAAATGAATTTCAAATAACTTCTACATTATATTTTGTTGATATGCAGAGCAGTTTAGGTTTTATTTGATCAAATAAAAGCATTTTATTTGAAATAGGAATCTTTTTTTGCATTTCTTTACTGTAATTTTTGATCATTTTAATGCATCCTGACTGAATAAAATAATTCTTTCAAACAAACAAATGTACTGACCCAAAACTTTTTAACAGAAGTGTATACAGACAGCAACATGTGGCGCTTTTCCATTACCAGTACCAGCTCGACTCGCCTCGACTTGGCTCGCTTTTCGCTCCGTTTTCCATTGCAGACAGTACCGTACCCGGTCGTCATAGCGACGCCTTTCGTTCCTCGTTGCCCCATCAAGCTCTTGCTGGATCCTCTCTTCGGCAACCAAACAAAGGAAAGTCTGCACCTCCTCGTTTGACCACGGCGTACTCTTCCGAGTTGCCATGATAATAGTAGTTAGTTTAGTAACTATCTCTGGCCAAACTATTTAAAAGTGGCGGGGTTATTCTGGATACTCCATCTGGCGCTTGCAATAATAACGCAGTGAATGGTGACGATTCTCTCTGACCAATCATCAGTCGGTATTGTTTTCACGTCACATTTTAGTATCACTTCAGTTCGCCTTAGCTCGCTCAGAACCTCGCCGGAGGTGATACAAAAAAAGTACAACTTTTACACAGTGGAAAACCAAACAAAGTCTAGCTAAGCCGAGCTGGTAGTGTGTAGTGGAAAAGCGGCAATAGTGTCGGCCCAGATCCGGCTCACATCTGGTATGTGTTGATTCCATGTGTACTGGATGTGGGCCGGATCTTAACAGACACTATATGTTGCTGTCTGGGATGGCAAAAGTCAAACAGACAGGCACAAACCTCGCCCAGATCCAGTATGAAGCAGTCCCCTTTGTTAAAGCTCTGCCAGCTCAAATCCACTTCCTTGGCTCTGATGTTGCGCTTCCCTTTGATTTGGTATAACCTCTGAACAGGTCCAGATCCAGACTGTGTTCTTCTGAAGCCAGACTCCACACCTCCCTCCTGTAAAACCAGAATAGCGTGACTATGCAAGGAACGTAAGCACTCTTTAATTGAAATAATGATTCATATATTACTACTGTAAAAAAAATCAATTCATTTATATATAAAGCCTTTTTGTGTACATGTGAGAGAATGTGAACACACAAACTCATCTCACCTTGTAGCTAACTCCTCGAGGGAAGAGGTTCATGAATTCTGGGGACTCATAGCCCTGAACCTGTCTGTGCTGGACTGGATCTCCTCCCAGGAAGTTATCCAGCTGTGTAGCCAACATGGCACAAGCTACCTGCTCGTCACGAGATGATTTCTCTCCTAAAGAGAGAGAAAACTAGGTTACACTTTATTTCGATGGGCCCTTTAAACAATCCATAAGTAACATTGCATTGAAGTATTATTGTTATTAATGAGACATATAGGTGCAACATATTTATGGTCATCAGCACTTTATTTTATCGTCCTGTTCCTTATTAACATATATATTTATTATAGTAATTTATAGGCCTGAACATACCCCTAAAAACCTAACCTTAAAGGGTTAGTTCACCCAAAAACTGTCATTAATTAATTACTCACCCTCATGTTGTTCCAACCCCTTCATCTTCAGAACACAAATTAAGATATTTTTGATGAAATATGAGAGCTGTCTGACTCCTTCATAAGCTTCCAGGTAATTTCATTCAGCCGGTCCAGAAAAGTTAGTGAAGATATAGTTAAAATAGTCCAAGTGAATTCTGTAGGTTTATCAAGCGACGAGAATACTTTTTGTGCACAAAAAACCCTACAAAAATAGGGTCTTCACGTGAGTTCACGAGAGCGCCACGACGCATGCGTGAGAACTGAGAAGATGATGCAGATGGGTCTTGATGTAGTGTTTAAAATGGTAAGTGTTCATTTCATGGATGTCCCAATTGTGAGAAACGAATGAGAAAAACGTAAAAGTGTCTAAACAATGCCGCAAAATGAATGGCTTACACTGGCTTTTCACACTTTCTCATCAAATGATCGCTAGTGTCATTTTCTCAGTTCTCACGCATGTGTCATGTACGCTCTCGTGAACTCACGTCAGAGGCCAACACAGAAGAAAATGAATAGGTAGTCGTTATTTTGGGGGGGGGGGGGGGGGGTTGTGCATAACTTGATAAAGTCTCATCACTTGATAAACTTAAGACTGACCCAATATAGTCACTTGGACTATTTTAACTATGTTTTTACTAACTTTTCTGGGCCGGCAGAATGAAATTACCTAGAAGCCTATGAAGGAGTGCGACAGCTCTCAGATTTCATTAAAAATATCTTAATTTGTGTTCCGAAGATGAACGAAGGTCTTACGGGGTTGGAACAACATGAGGGTGAGTAATTACTGACAGAAATTCAATTTTTGGGTGAACTAACCCTTTAACCCATGTAGTTATTACTACAACGGAATAAATAGAGGGGGCCATAATAATGTTACTGAAAATGAATTGTAACACTTCACAATGAGGTTCATTAGTTAATGTATTATTAGTACTAACTATGAGTTATAAATTTGTTACTGTATTTGTTAATCTTTGTTAATGTTAGTTAACAAAAACACAGCTGTTCATTGTTTGTTCATGTTAGCTCACAGTGCATTAACTAACAAAGATTAATAATTGCAGTTCAATATTTGTTCATGCTAATTAATGTAGTTAACTAATGTTAACTAATGTACCTATTGTATAGTCAGTGTTACCAAATTAATATGTATTGCATAATCGGTAACTCTTTACAATAAGGTCTTTTTTGAAAACATTAATGAAAGCATTTGTTAGTGCATGATGCAACTATGAGCACTGAGCTGTATATTATTAACCTGTTAACATTAGTTAATAAAAATATAACTGTTCATTGTCTGTTCATGTTAGTTCAACGTGCATTAACCAATGTTAAATTAACATTAACTCAGATTTACAATTTCTGTAGAAGTATTGTTTATTTTTAATTCATGTTAACCAATGTGGTTAACTTATATTAGCAAATGAAACCTTATTTTAAAGTGTTACCCAATCATTTAAAAGTATGGAATCCACTCACATAATTCACTTTACAAACTTCCTCTCTAACATGCAGCCAATAAAAAGGTCAGCAAATATAAATAAGAAAAAGAAATTAGGAAGAACTTTCTTTCAACAAACAATGTGCGTGTTTAAAACTAGTGCAATTTTGCACAATTCTGTCCTGTGTGATATGCCACCAACGCAGCCACTTCCTCTGCACCTCTGAGCAACCGTTTGTTTTCTGAGCTGAACTGTTTGACTTTGAAATGCTGTGCCATTTGTGGTAGGGCTTGGGCGAATTATCAAAATGCATTTTAAGTTTGTTTTTATTTTTACAATTATGACAAGAAAAATAATTAAGATAAAATGATTACTGCGCTCCATTCCGTTTAGTAATGATGATATGAAATATATAGCTATATATTACATATAGCAATGAAATGTTTATTTTATTAGCATTTTCAACACTTGAGGTTCACGGAAATATGATGTTGAAAAGACTTTTCAGGTTAAATAAATGCTTGATGATTCCAAAATTTAAAAGTGCATATATTATTTATTATTACTTTTTTATATTTAAGGTTCAAGGAAACGTGCTGTTAAAAGGTTCAATAAATGCAATAATAAATGCATGATGTTTTCAGAGTCAATGAGTAATTTTGAAACATTCATTATCTAAATCATGAACAGAATAATCATGATTTTATGGTATGTAGAGATGTCGAACACGGAGGTATTAGAAGGATCATAATGAATGAATGATATGGTTGTGTTCGGAACTGAGACCGGGGATTCTGAGAAATGAAGAGATGGATTGAGGCTGTTTATGGATGGTTAATGAGAAGGCATGAGAGAAGATGGCTCATCATGCTGACAACCTGCTTAGTGTTACCTAAAGCGCCGGATACACCATAAGACAATAGACCTAACTGAAGTCCTGTCCCAGGCCCGCTGAAACATTAATGACCTATGAAAACACACGCCCATGCCTTTTTCCTTTGGGAGTCTTCCCTCTTCACCCCTCTCTCCTGTCTATCAGCCGTTCCATCCTAACTTTCTGTGCACTCACTCAGCCTGGGTCAGGCCCACTCAACTGTGTGATCATGCGTATCGTTTATCTCAACAGGCTATTGTCTCAGTCTTTCAGACCCCATAACAATCATGACTGACTGACCGACCCTGACCCTGGCTTCACTTTCTATGTATATCATGCCATATGCAATTTGTGCATCTTTTCCTCCCCAAAACAGCCATAGCGACCATGTCTTAAAATAAAAAAAATACAAAAAAATACATTTAATGATTAAACGATTTTTGTGCATTGTTTTTCCATAAAAAATAGGTGGCCATGTTTGTCCAGCTTCAAAAGTAACAAAGAAATAAACTTGGGGTCTTTTTTTAAATGGAGTATTACAAGTAAGTAATGACATTAGTCATTAGCATGATGGTGAATTTAGTGAATTAAAGGAGGGGATTCACTATTGGCAAGATGGGCTTTTTAATAAAACTTGGCTTTCTATGCAGGAGAAAAGCAAAAATATTGGTTTCAATTTATTTTAATGGTCCCTTTAACACATTTGGTTGACTTTAAGTAATGTTGCACCTACATGTCAACTAATTTTCGTGTTAGTAGAGTATTAATAGACTGTAGGGTAATAAGTTGACAGTTGCAAAGTTACTGTTGGAGGATCATCCCAATAAAGAGTTGTCAGATATTAAGCATGCAGCCTACTAACTCTAATGAGAGTTAGTTGACATCTAGTTGCAAAGTTACCATCAAAATAAAGCGTTAGCAAAATATTTTTAAAATCGATTCTCATGACTAAAGAAAAAAGAGAAGAAAAAGGCTGTGGTGTTTTTTCCAAAAATTTTTCTTTTATACAAGCTCAAGATGATTCATGATGTCTCATAGCCTGACTACATCAGACTTCCTACTTCCGCTAATTTCATTTCGCTTCTGTAGTCAGTCTGAGACAGCAGCCTATCTTTCAGTTTTCCAGTCTCCTTATATATATATATATATATATATATAAATACACACACATGCATGTATATTTAAGAAAAAAAAATTATATGTAAAATATTTATATTTATATATAATATAAATTATATATAAATCTATATACAGTATATACATGGAAATATTTCTTAAATATATACAAGCGTGTGTGTATTTATATAAAATAATTATACACAGTGCACCCACATATATTATGTAAACACAAACTTTTATTTTGGATGCGATTAATCGTTTGACAGCCCTAGTTGCCAGACAAATGCTAATTATCGTATTCATACGATCATTTGGACCTCTGTACAGTGTACGATCAAAAATGAAACAAATAATGTAGGTAAAAAATGTATGTAAAAAAATGTATCTGCATTTATATAGCGCTTTCACAGACCCAATGGCCACCAAAGCGTTTTACATTTTGCCTCACATTCACCCATTCACTCGCTCATTCATACACCGACGGCAGTGTCAGCCATGCAAGGCGTCATCCAGCTCGTCGGAAGCAGCTGGGGTTAGGTGTCTTACTCATGGACACCTCAATGTATTTCAGACTGCATAGCTGAAAGCGACAAAATTAACCAAAGGAAAAAATCAGCAGCTATCATCTCACCAATCCACATGTGGAGGTCTGCACCCTGGTCACCACGGTTATCCAGCACAAGGTAGGAGTCACCATTGAAGAACGCCCCCACCTCAGCTTTATCCAGGGGAACAGCCTTCATCTTCTCCACTCGCCAACATCTCAGTCCCGGCTGCCTAATCTCATCCCCAAACTGCCCTGGAGCGGCCTGAAATCGGAGCATTCTGCAGAGACAGAATAAATTGTGAATTTATGGATTCATAATAATATTCATTCTTTGTTCTGAACTATGTTTTGAAAGCTGAAGCAATTGCCTGTGACTTGAGGTCAGTGTTTCCCAGGCCTGTTCCAGGAGAATGACACACAGGGTGATTCTCAATTTGAAGGCTTCGTCCTATAAGGCTGCATATCTAAGCTCCGTCGAAAGCTCCGTTCAAAAGATCAGCATTTAATTGATATAGAATGTTTTTGAAAAGGTCTTATATAAGTATATATAAACAAAAATCTTAACGACCACAAAATTTTGAACGGTAGTGTACTGTATTTAGGTACAGAAGAAAATATTTCATATTCAATGTTTCTTTACCCCAAACCCAACTAGTCATTTGGCTTTTGTCCCGATGGTTACTCTATTGTAGCTCTGCTCCTCTCAGTAATTTGCCAAGAGAGCTATCAGTTAAAGACTACCGTTATCTGATTGGTTCTCTGACCTGTCAGTAACCTGAGTGCCAAAACACATGGTTTGGATTGTGCAAATCTGTTTGTTTGGACACTACAGACAGTGTCAGTGTGATGGAGGTATCTTTGACAGGCTCATGGATTAACAACATAAATGTTGCTGCTGCAAATAAACTGGCATGGTAAAAATAAATCAGTATAATTTGGCTCTTCTTGTAATGTTCTGACGAGAGGAGTTCTGCATTACTTCATTTTCATTTAAAGAAGTGGCCTCCTTGTGTTACTTCAGACATGCCATCCAGAGAGTCAGACACACCCAGTTTCACAACGCCAAAGATACATATTTTCTCACATAGTTACTGTTGTGAACACATGTGAAACAATGACAATGGGTAAATCGTGTTGCTGGCTGCTCCTTCCTCTTTATCTGTTGCTTCAGTCCATATATTCTGTTTAGTCACAGTTTGACATGACGCCTCATAAACCGCAAGGAAATAACAGGGAACATCCCCTAATAAATACTATGATTCATTAGTAGGTATTCCTAGTTCACTTTATGATACAAATTTATGATCGGTTTTAAAAATGTATGAGATGAAAATACGACAGCCACCATGTGCACTGTTCTACGTATTACATCAATCGCATCACTTGTCAATTAAATGTGCAGTTCATCCTGGTATTTTTCACCTATGAATACTACCAATTCAGGCATACTAATGTCACAAACTACTTTTCATTTACTATATACTAGAGAAGAATGCATGATCGGATGTAGGGATTGTTTCCAGACATGTTTCCTGAACACACCCCCCATCTGCCATTGGCCAACCAGACATAGCATAATTTAGTTTCGCTCCCTCTGCCACACCATTGGCAGATATGTCACAATGCCATTCATAAATCCTCTCCTATGGTCTAGTGTATGACCTATGGTATAGTAAAGTGTGCATAGTATGCACACTTCAGAATCTCATCAGAAGAAGATCATCCGGGTACTTTTTGCTCTTTTATGAGTAGGCTACTGTGAATTCAGATAGTTCTTTTGTCACATACTATTTTTCGCCTTCTATATAGTAGGAAATAATGCAAATTCAGCCCCTTTATCTAAATAAATCATCTCTACGAGTGGTTTACTTATAGTTGACAATACATTTTTTTTTTTTTAAATACAGCCTATTTTACATAAAATATGTTCATTTTTTCATCTGAGTATTTTAGCATAACAAACTTTCAGTTTTAAACAGTGATCACTCAAGATTGTTATTTTTCTGAAAACAATAGTAGACTGGGCTACTACAGAACATACTCAAATATGACAAACTTACAGGTAGCCTACATCATTGCAGGATTTAGTGGAGCTATGCGACCAATGTAAGACAGTAGAAGCTCAGCCTCCCTAAGTAAAGAGTGTGATGAGCACTCAAAGCTAAGAAACGCTTGTTCACTTAACTGTAAAACCCCTTCGGCCTGCTCCGGCATGCTTTCTGAGTCCGGCTCCATTCTGCCTTTTCCAGTGTGTGTTTGTGTGAGTGTGAGAGTTCACCTGGCCTGGTTAGCTTATATGTGTCCAGTAACTGGACACGGGGGAATAATCCGAGCGGCCCTGCCGAGGACGCCCCACACCGAGAAGAGTCGGGTTGCCTGACAAACGCTAAACACTAGCTTGATAATTACTGCAAGCCACCATCCATCTTTCCTCCACTCATCAGACGGAGTTGATGGAGGAAACACGGTAAAACATGGGTTTTGGTTTCTAAGACAAAAAGTTCTTGTCCCGAAAGGTGGAGGTTGCTGTTTTTAATTTTTATGTTAAAATGTTAGCATTCGGATTCTTGGCCTTGTGGCTTAAGTAAACAATTGCCTGTCAATGTAGACAAATTTTATGGTCAGAAATTATGAACTGGATGTAAGCAAACCATAAATCAAAACAGTTAATTTTTGTATATTGTAGGCTAGGCGGCTGGCATACATTACAAAAATCTAAATGATCTTGTTGCAATTGCATAAATTATATAGTTTCATAATAATTAAAAAGAGAAGTGAGATGGAAAAAACTGCTGAAGGTTGATAAGTCACTCGACTTTTACACTGACACAGCATCTCTCATTATAAGGAGACATGCGAGCTACATCGAACAGATAATAAGACAAAAAGCCATACAAATATATTAACTTATATGAATTCTCAGATAGAACTGCAATCAAGTTCGACATAATGGCAATCACTCAATGGAGGACTTGTTAGAGGATAATACAAGCGATTTCTGTAAATACAAGTGCATTTCATTTCGGAAGCGCAGGTTCTCTATTTAAACAAAAAATCAAGATCAAGTCAAAATCATAATGTTCAATATATACTGTATATAAACTAACTTTTGCATTTAAAATGTTGAAAATGAGTACTTAAGCATACAAGCTAGATGTGAAACTATAAGGTGTGGCATTTTGGGAGCATTTCCTCCCTAAAATTCACTCTGCTTTAAGTTACTTTTCTTTAAAAATGAATGAATTTTGCATAACAGAAAAGCAGCTGTAAATAGGGCTGGGTTTGAGGGTTATGCATGTATAATTAGTGAATTTCTGAGTAATTTTACAGATTTTCAGTGCTTACCTTGCTATTGCTGAAGTTGGAGGTCCCTGTAGAGTTTTGAGAAAGAAAGGAAGAGAATTTGTAGATGAGAGACCGTGAACAAAATCACTTCCTGCATTAGTTCTGGCCCAGCCCTTTTAAATACACCCCCACCTAAGCAAACAATGCCAAAAAAGCAAGAAAGGACAAGAGCACGCCAGAGTGAAATTCAGATTTTTAAATAGTTAAACAAATGATTTGCCTGTTTTGGTTACATTTGACTACAGGAAACCCCTCCTGGACTTCGGAATAAAAGGGAAGAAAATATCTAAAAATGATGTTTAGCCATTCTTGAGGGATTTCTGTTTCTCTTATTACATGAGTCACACCCAGTCAGTAACAAAGCATTCATAATTATGTCAGGACTTGCTTGCCTATGGGCACAAACCATACGAATATAAAAAAAAAAACATAGACATACAGGCTTTCCAGGTTCAAGGCTTATCCAATCACAGAGCTGTAAGTCATAGCTAAGAGTTATGTCAACTGTCTGTGACTGCATTCAAACAGGAAGTCCAGGAGCTGGTCTGTGGTTTCAGGAATTTAAAAACAAGAACCAGTCAAGTATACGATGTCTGTATATTGACATCTTAAGAAGAGGCATCCTTATAAGTTTGTGGATTTTCTTACAGGGAAATTTAAAATGGGTAATTTTGATAGAGCATATACAATCCAAGTGGTGCACTTTCAGAAGATAAAACCTAAACAAAGTCATGTAATGCCAAATGCCATTGTGTTCCAGTTCTTCAATTCAATAATGTTCTACCACCAGTAAGTTACTCACTTCTTCAAAACTCATTCACATTTCAGAAAATTAAGTTTAATCCTTAGACAGCCAAGCCAAAAATAGTCTCTTACTCATTTTGTCATTTAAAACGACGGACTAAAAGTCACAAGTTGAAACTTGAACATGTAAACACCCATGTTTAAAGAAACACACATGGACAATAGTTTAGTCAAACTTTTTATTTTAAGTCAAAAACAAACAAAACAGATACAGAGAATGAAGTAATCAGATTGATTTCTATAGTGGCAATTTCTCTTAATTTAAATTCTCATTTCCCCAGAACCCTGACCCAGTTATTACTCAAACTCAAGAAAACCCTGTTTTTTTTCCATTTATACCATCATGCACACACACTTGCGCACACACACACACATTATTACTGGGAGCCTAGGTACAGAGTATTAACTGGATTTGTTTGGAACAACCATGAAACTGAAGGCAAACAAGGGCATTAAAGAGACACTGTCAGAACTGCAACATAAGGCCTTAAATCTAAAGCTGAATAATGCAAGAGCAACAAAGTCTTTTACTAGTCAACAAAACCTCCTGCAACTACCACAGTCCAATTGGAAGAGTGAGTTGAGGGAACCACAGGCACCAATTGCTTTAGGTGCACAAAAAAAAAAAAAAAAAAAAAAAAATTAGTAACGCTTAAAGAGATCTAATTACCTTGAACACCCGAGTCAAATCAGACTTTGTCGCCCTCTACAGTTTAAGCATGAGACGACTGTCAAAATCAGCTGACAAAATTTAGGTTAACAAAGAACCACAAAATCTAAGGGCGTAATAGTGCCAAATATGAAACAGTGCATATTCAAATGAAAATCCAAACTGCAACTTATTCCCCCACCCCAAGCACTTAATCCAAAACGCAAAGCTGACCCAACAATGAAGCCAGCGCAAGAAAAATAGTGTAAAATAAATGCTTTTCCTCAGTAATTCACACAAGAGATTCAGTTCTAACTATTGATGCAAATATCAGAAAAACAATTATACACTTTTTAGATTAAAGGGTTGAGTGCTAAGGACAGGGAAGGTCTCGTAAGATTTAGACCTAGATGGTTTAAAAACGTTAACATGGTGCAGTTTATGCAAAGCCATGCTTTAACCCCACTCTTAGGATAAAAGTAAAATAAAAACCAAAAAAGGTAACAACTTCACACTCCTCAGAGGTACAAGACTACTTGTTACCATTTTTTTTTTTTTTGCAGTTATTGAAATTGAAAATTACTGGGCAGATGCTGGTGAAGAATATAAGGCTTGCATCTTTTGGGGACAATTGAATAGAAATGTGATGCCTAAATAAAGCATCCACTCCCTCTCTCTGATTCCTACCGAAGAGGGCAATCACTACACAACACTTTTACCCATGTCATGGGCTGGCATACATTAGACTACAGTATTACAAGACATTTTTAATCTGCACAATGCGTGTCAGCTTCAACACGTTTCTAATAAACAGCCACTTCCAACCACCTGTTTCTTTCTTCAATAACTTTTTATGAGTAAACTCAAATTAGACAAATCAACATTAATATTTAAACAGTTCTGACCTGGAAACAAGCGCTTATTTACACAGAAGAGAAAGAAAAAAAAAAGCTATAAAATGTGAGAAAGGGTCAGACTCAGTTGTCGTTTCTCCCCCCCCTTCTTATTTACGTTATAGAGATTTTTCAAGGTTTCATTTAGAAACTTTTCAGATACAATCCACTGTTTTCTGTTTGAAGGCTTTTGGCAATACTTCTTAGATTTCCTTAATATCCAACACTGAATTTTAGAGGAAAAGTACGGGAGATAAAAATGACTATGAATGATCTTTCTCTTCCAAAACAGTCAACCTCCAGCATCTTTCCCCCAATTTTGAGTTACAGTTCTCCCTCTAAACTTAGAGCGACCAAAACGGTCTATACAAAGGCAGCCTTGTTTGGCTTATTGTTCAAACCTCTGATACAACAGATGCAACCACTGAAGCCTGTTTAGTGAGGCTATTTAAGAACAGTTCAAGTCCCAAAAGGAAAATCAAAAAAGGATGTCCCATGTGGGATGTCCCCAGCCTTCCCTGTAAATCACAACGACCCCAGCTGAGTGGCTTTCCTTCAGTCTTTATTCCAGAGTCAGAGTGCCTATCAGGGAAGTAGCATGAACCCTGGCACCAACCATCTTTAGTTATTTTCTTCATCGCTATCGTCAGGGCTGATGGCTGGGCTGTAGGTCGGAGAGGTGGGGCTGTAGCCTGGTGAAGTGGGGCTGTAAGTAGAGCCCTTGGGACTAGTTGGAGAGTAGGTAGGAGATGTAGGAGAGTATTTCGGAGAAGTTGGGGAGTAAGTTGGAGAGGTGGGAGAGTATTTGGGGCTGGTTGGGGTGTAGGTGGGAGAGGTTGGAGAGTAAGTAGGGGAAGTTGGGCTGTACTTGGGTGTAGTTGGAGAGTAGGTTGGAGAGGTGGGACTGTATTTGGGTGAAGTGGGAGAGTACTTTGGGGAAGTGGGGGAATATTTGGGGGATGTTGGGGTATATTCAGGAGAGCTGGGACTATAAGAGGGGGAGGTGGGCGTGTATTTTGGAGAGGTGGGGGAATAGGATGGAGAGCTCGGGCTGTAAGAGGGCGAGCTCGGGGTGTAGGTGGGAGATTGCGGGGTGTAGCGTGGGCTGGATGGAGAGTAGGACGGTGAAGTGGGGGAGTATGAAGGAGAGGTGGGGGAATAATTGGGGCTGGTTGGGGTGTAATTGGGAGAGGTGGGAGAGTAGGATGGTGAGGTGGGACTGTAAGATGGGGAGGTTGGAGAGTAACTGGGTGAGGTGGGCGTGTAGTTGGGCGAAGTGGGGCTGTAGCTCGGAGATGTTGGGGAATAGGACGGGGAGGTTGGGGAGTAGCTTGGAGAGGTTGGAGAGTAAGACGGAGAGGTTGGGGAATAAGACGGGGAGGTGGGGGAATAAGATGGAGACGTGGGGCTGTAGCTGGGGGATGTTGGAGAGTAGGATGGTGAAGTCGGGGAGTAAGAAGGTGAAGTGGGAGAATAAGAAGGTGAAGTGGGAGAGTAAGAAGGTGAAGTCGGAGAGTAAGACGGCGAAGTTGGGGAGTAGCTTGGAGATGTTGGAGAATAAGATGGCGAAGTTGGAGAGTAGGAGGGTGACGTGGGCGAGTAAGACGGAGATGTGGGGCTGTAGTTCGGGCTGGTGGGAGAATAAGATGGTGAAGTTGGCGAGTACGATGGAGAGGTCGGAGAGTAGCCAGGGCTCTGAGGGGTGTATCCACCAGGAGAACGAGGCTCGTAGGCAGGAGAGGTTGGAGAGTAATTGGGAGACAAGGCTCCTGAAAGGAGAAAGATGTGCATCAGAACAGTTGTTTACAACCAACTAAATAACATTTATTATTCTTAAAAACAGAACAAGACAAAAATGGACAGTGGAGTAACCTGGTGAGGGGATATAAGGGCTAGCTGGTCCAGGCGATCCAGGAGAACCAGGAGTAGGGGACCAGGCAGGAGAATAGCCGGGTGAGAAGCCACTGGCATCGGATGCAGCGCTGGGAGAGAAGCCTGCAGCACCTGGTGTCATTCCACTTCCTGTATATACACACACACACACACACATATTTAAAAACACGGCATGAAATGGTCTGTAAACCTTTAACACAAGATAACTCGGGGATTAAGAGTGGCTGTAAAACAAAACTTCATGTAGAATTTCTTCACTCACCAACACTAGGAGACCAGGCACCATACGCAGGAGTGGCTCCTGTGTTCCACGGAGTCATGGCTGGAGACATGCCACTCATAGGGCTGGGGGCAGAGCCAAAGAACATGCCTGTGGCTGGAGTGGAAAAAGCAATGGTTAATCAAAGGTTTACATTTGGGGACAAATGAGTATTGTAGGGCCCTATAATTTCCACGATCACATAATCGCGGATTTGGCCAATTAAATCTATTGTTAATGATGAATTTTGCTTTTAATGATGAAATTTATTTTACTGGACGGTAAAGCTCATAATCATATTTTCTCATTTAAAAATTTAAGGTGATTCCTATTTTATTTGTGTACATTTTAATCATTACATTTGGGGACAAATGAATATTGTAGGGCCCTATAATTTAAAAATTTAAGGTGATACCTATTTTATTTGTGTATATTTTAATCATTACATTTGGGGACAAATGAGTATTGTAGGGCCCTATAAATTCCACGATCACATAATCGTGGATATGGCCAATTAAATCTATTGTTAATGATGAAATTTGCTTTTAATTTTGAATTTTAATGATGCAATTTATTTTACTGGACAGTAAAGCTCATAATCATATTTTC